TAATGTTAGTAATAGAGGAGAAAATTGCAGGCTTATGTTGCGACGTAGCATGCAAGTCATAACTTTGTGTAGGCCAACTATGAGCTTTTTGACGGGACAACAACAAAGCAGCAACTACGCTGCTTTCAAGCCAGTAGTCCACTTTGCAGCTCCTTTAAATTGACAAGCACGATCGAACGTTCAATGATTCACGTGATGAGCGACTAGAGCGACCAAAGCTGCCACAAATATTTTTGACAGTCGTGCTTCTTGGGCATCCGCGAAAGACTTTGCCTCTTTGGAAGCTTCTGGTTTGAACGTATAGTAACTTCTTTGGCTTCATGCACATCTGAGCAACTTTCATAGGAAGAAATGGGGCCCGGCTTCTGACACCGTATCCACTTCTCTTACATGCTATTGCCAGATATAGCAGATGTTTCCTAAGTTGCAACTACATATCAAAAGAGAAAAAAAAGAGAACAAAGAGAAAAGAGGACGGTGAACGCTTGGTCTACAGATGTTGCAAAAAAATCCTTGATCATATTTTTCAGTATACAAATCTTAAACCGCTATTCTGGCAACTCTTCAGAATTCTCATTTTCCCAGCCTGTACCTTTCAACTTTTATAGTAGTGTGTTTCTTTTTCTGACTCTGGCTGCACAGTATTTACTTTCTCTGTCAGCCTGTGCTGTTTTGTTTGTCGCACTGGGTCCAGAGCCCCCTGTTTCTGAGTCTGAATCATCTCTGAGCTCCGGTTTTATTCTTCTTCAAATCCCTCTCCACCTGCTGGCCTCTCCCCTCTGTGGGTCTATAAATTACGCAGAGGAGTCATGTTTATGGAAGCAAACAACTCAAGTGCTGCTGTGAGATCAGCGCTCAACAGGAGCGACACTTAATCAGAAATTCCACTGCTGACGCCATGGCCACCAACTGTTGGCGCTCATTCGAAAATCTAAATAAGGAGGCAAGGGGACAGAAAGCAATAGGAAAGAAGCTACAGGTTATTTCCCTCTTGCTCTTTCCCTTGTAAGCTGTAATTAACCTAGCAGTAATGTTAACAAATGTCAAATATTTATACAGTCATAAAACTAGCGGTGCATGTTGGCCTTCCAACCCTTGTGTAGGAGGAAGAATGGCAACACTAAAGAAAAGAAAGCAGCGGCCAGGGATGGAAAAACAGTAAGACGGATGTTTTCATCTTTCTCTCTCACACACTCTTTCTACTGCTCTCTCTCTCCCCAGGGTCCACAGCTGAGAAGTGATACATGGCTCAGTAATAGTCTGAGCCCTGGGGAGAGCAGCTCTGTGGCCTTGGTAAGAGACTAACACACACACACACACGCACATACATACACCTTCACACCCAGTCACGCACAGCCAGTCATGAGAGTGCAGGCATACACAGAGGAGGACACAAAGGTTTGACTAATATGAGCCTCTGAAAGCTGATACCAATATGTCCTCAGTCTGTCCTGATTTCTTTGAACGATTCCATTTTCTCACCATATGTTGAGACACATTCAGTGCTTATCATTAATTGTTCTTCTTGTCTGGCTCTGTAAAAGCATTTAGATCGTCATGTGACAATAAAAAGTTTTGAATGAAACAAGACGAACACATTTAAGATCTTAAATAAGGTAGGCTTATCCCCCACGTCCATTCAGTAAGAACAAAAACTTTTATATGTCAATCAATCAATCAATAAATTTTATTTATAAAGCCCAATATCACAAATCACAGTTTGCCTCACACGGCTTTACAGCATACAACATCCCTCTGTCCTTATGACCCTCGCAGCGGATAAGGAAAAACTCCTCAAAAAAATTCCTTTAACGGGATACATCACTGCTTTAAAGTGAAGAATTAGAGGGGAACTTATACTTAAGTATTTTTCAACCCTATTTCCACATGTTTTATGTAAAAGTCACTCATGAGAACAACAAGTGGTGCAGCTGCACCCCATCAATTAACATCCACTATAAGTGCTTGTTTTTCCACTGACAGGCTCACACTTTTACTATGAGTGTCTGACAACATCAGCTAAATGCAGCTCCGCAAGCCAGAGCTTTGACTTAACAGGTCGGTTCTGGTACTGAGCTTCATGGGTATTGGTGGGTGCTGGTTTTCAAAAATGGACCCGTGCAGGCCGCTAGCATCACGCGGCTAACGTTATCTAACAGGTTTAATGAAAAAGATTGTTGCTGCTGCAAGGCTTCTGCCCAAGTGGCAAAATATGACGAGTAGTGATGAGATCTTGTTGTGTTGTGTTAGCTTGTGCTAACCAGGCAGAGAGAGCATGAAGAGAGCCGCTCACAAGGACTTATGGTTGATTGTCAGCGATCAGCTGTTGCTGTATTGAAATCAAAAATATGAAAAACTCTGCAAGATTTCAGAGTGAGACCTCTCTTTTAGCGAGACTTGTTGACACAACACAAAGCAGAACAAATGAAAGATAGAATAAAACTTTTAATTTCTCTGTAGAGTCCTTTCTGTAATGTTGTATGGCATTCATGATAACAATTGCAGCCTGTCAGTGGCAAAAACAAGCACTTTTTTTTGGACGTACATTGACAGGGCACACCTGCCCAAAGTGGTTACAATTTAAGTGCTGCTGCTGGCTGCAGCTCTCTCTTTCAATACTTGACCAATTTCAAATTTTGTTGTTTCCCGGTCACTTAGGCACAAATACGTGGGATAGGGTCCAGGCTGAAAATTTCCCTGAAAAGCTGAAAAGTTCCCCTTTTATTGATCAAACACACATAACCCCCATCTCTCTGGGCCAAAATGATCGGAAATCCTTCCACCTCAGCTTCTCCCTCCTCGCATTGGGTAAGTCACTAATTAATTTGGACTATAGACTGTGGGACAGATCTAGACTGGTTCAGGCTTGGGACAAAGAGAAGAGTAAAACCCAGCACCCTCCTGCTGTGAGTCAACACAGCTACCCAATTAACATGAACAATTTTGAACAAAGCATCATAAAATTAAAGTGTTCATATATACAGTAGTACTTCTTTGGATTCTCTGGATTATCATTTTTTTAATAAATGCTTGTCTTTATTAGACACTTGGTAGTGTAGAAGCAGATGATGAAGTGTATGTGGTTATATGATGTGTGCCTTTACCCCTCACCCACCAGGACTTCCCATCATATTTAATATTTCAGTGACTGCCTGAAGTCTACAACTCACTGACATCTCTTGTAAAGCTCTGCCAGCAGCCAGTCAAGAACATCTCACTGTTTGGCCATAAAACCTTTGGCTGTCTCATCCTTGTTAGAAAGATTGTCCTGGTGCATTGTTTCAAAATCGGGGGACTAAAGGTCTGACCCTCAACGTCAAACTATAGTTAAAATACAGCAATAAAAAAGTACTCCACCGATTTAGCATTGCACTCCTGTAACATTGTCAGACTCGCAATAGACATCACAAAAGGATCAAAATGGATACAGCAGAACCAATGTCTTTTTTATTCAACGCATTCTTCCTCCTTGTCAAAACATAGCGCCTACATCGCCCAAAATGCAGACAGTTCAGTCCGAGGGTATTTCCTGCATAGAGAATTACAAGGAGGCCTTGCCTCCAGTTCTCAACAAAATTCTGACAGGCTTTGTAATGGAAAACACTGCACTTGGAGGATCTGTCATTTGTAACTGCATTTGTGGCATTAAGCCAATGTGATGGAGCGATCATAAATAGCAGTGCTCCAGGAAAGGTGCTGCCACAACTGCCAAAGAGGAAGAAGAGAGATTTCTGTTTATGGCTTGACCACAGCATGGATGTGTTAAGAGACCTGGATACAGAACTGGTGGCAGTGGCCAGTTAATCCCCATAAAAGTTGCTCAGTGCTGCATGAAGCCAAAAAGGCTCTATTTCAATGATATGAAATTACCCAGATGATCGGCACTGCTCCGCATTATTGGGTCCATAGAGCAGGCAAACTAGAGGCTTATGGCCGTTGAGCGTATCCGACTTGTGGCGGACTCTTAGCTTACTTCCGGAGTAGCGTTCCAATAACTTGAATGGGGATAAAATAATTTAATCTTGTGGCTCTTTTAGACTTTCCAAACTTTATCGGACCAAATGGATTAAATCTTGATAGTGGAATGACTCATTTTTGGGGGGTTGTGATGCTCAAAAAAACGTATCCACCGATTTATAGACTTCTGTGTTCCAATGTAAGTCTATGGGAAAAAGTCTTTTTGGGCCCACTGGCATCACATAACGGACCTCAGAATTGCAGTGCCACTATTTGGCCACAAAGAAAATTGGCTTCAAAGCTTGGTGCACTTCCTGGGGGCCTGGACCACAGCAAGACTGGGGCAATATGTTTGTGCAGTTGGCATTGGTAAACACCACTCCATTCTCCTCTACGCCTGTGCGGCACCTAGATCATTCACACTGGTGAAATGTAAGGAAATAAAATTGTTGTTTTTTTCTCAACTTTGCACTGATATTATTTTTCTTATTTCATTGTACAGCACACTGGTCAACTCTGATTGATTTTAAATGAGCTTTAAAAATGAATTTGATTTGATGTCAAACTGATTGAGTTCCGTTGTGCTGCAATACAGAGAGAAAACCAACAAGAAATGTGATGTTGTCCGAATACTTCCTGACCGTAGTCTAGACAAAAGACAACACAGACACACCTACACACAGTCTCCACACATCGTGAATCATTTATCCTTTTTTCAGAGTTTAGATCTGGGCAACCTTTCTTGGGGCTGAGGTCTGGCCGTCTAACAGCAGGAGGCAGTTCTGGGTGAGTAACAGTGCTTCTTTTTCTCACCTCTAAAGGATTTGAGGAGACAAGAGCAACACTCTCTCACCACTCCCATTTCTGTCTGGAGACTGTTCAGATGTAAGAGGAGAGCCGAGGACACCAGGACTGGTGTCTTTTTGTTATTCTGTCACAGTGGCTTTCAGCAAAATGGGAAAATAGATTGAGGCATGCAGAAAGAACAGAGGCTTTACAAAAAAAAAAAGAAAAAAAAAAAGGATAAGATAATAGCATTTTACCTGATCCCCATCTTTCCGTACTGGCACCGCATCCACCGCTGGAGAGACAGCAAGAGAAACAGAGAGAGATGAATTAAAGATAATTTCATTATCACAGGTGCTTCAGTAGCTACAGGTATCAGACCATGGCAGGAAACACAGATGCGAGAAGACACAAAATATCAGTCCAGAATACACAATTGCTTTGTCTCAAGCATCCATGACAGGAGAGGAGAAACAGGAAGACAGAGGAGTGAGCAAGGGACACTGACAGAGAGAGGGAGATAACAGTATGTCAGACTGATGCAGCCTTCAATGTGCCCGCTGAGGGAACATGACAATGCTGTCCAGTATTTCTCTCTGTCACACACACACAAACACACCATGCTAAAATTAGATTAATTATCCACGCCAAGCTTTGGCACACAGAGGGCACAACCAGTATGAATCACGAGGGCCAGAGATGATGCTGAAATATTTGAGGGCGATAAAAGGGGAAGCCTCTCTGTCATTATAAGTAACGGGGTGCAAATTTAATAATTTAGCGGTAATCACAAAAAAAGAAAACGAGCTGTTGACCAGAGAGATTTTGATGATGACTGACATAACACTCTCCTTCCATCCCATGATGACCTTGAGTCTGACCTTAGTTAGTTAGGTTATCCAATGCAACCTGTGAAAGCATATATGAGCATTAATTGCCACACACATTCATATCAATTGTTCATTCATTTTCCATAGCCAATTATGCTGATAGGGGTCGCAGGGGGCTGGATTCTATCCAAGCTGTCATTGGGCAAGAGGCAGGGTACACCCTGGACAGGCTATCAGACTCTCACAGGGCTGACACATAGAGACAGACAAGCGTTCACACCTATGGCCAATTTAGAGTCACTAATTACCCTAACCTGCTGTGGACTGCCTGGAGTGCCCAGAGAAAGCCCACACTGCCACGAGGAGAACATGCCAACTCCCCCACCCTGGGTTTGAACAAGGCACCCTCTTGCTGTGAGACAACAATGCTTACCACTGCAACACCGTGCAGCCATTTATATCAGTGTCTATTAAATTTCAGCCATTTGCATGGGGGCAGAGTGTACACAGAATGCTGCATTAGATCCCTCCCTCCTGATCCATTCATTGTCAAACATAAGACACAGCAACAGCATCTGAGTTCTCTTTGTATCAGTGGTAAGATGAGGAGTCAAGCTGCCGTAGGAGCAGAGAAAAAGAGCTGCTATGGGAGCTGGTATGTACAAGCAGAGAGTGAGTGGGGGGTTGCATTTAGTTCTTGGGGCGGCGAAGCTGGAAAAAGGACATTGGTGTACATCCAGGAGTGCTGACGCGCAGCTTGCCGCCACCAGTGTGGGGCTGCACATTAAAAAATGATAGGGGCGTATTTTTTGACAAACATCAGTGTGTTTTGGCCTTGATGCAGCTCAAATAGATGACCACTAGAGAGTATAGAAATAGAAATGCAATCTGAGTTTCAGGCACTGCCCTGATGCATCATCAGCCTCTTTTACCCAGCCTGTTCAAGGTGGGAATGATTTGCCGTCATCCTGCCTCACTGTTCTTTAAATAAGGCTGTAATAGCGCTGAAACAACGTCTGTGTAAAAGGGACAGCCAGCAGGACGGGACCAAAGGCAGGACGGGGGTGGCGTTTTGACAACGCGTTATGTGTGCAACCCACTACTGGGAGATTTAAGAAGCAGAAAATAGCAGTTAGCAGCTAACACAAAGAAGAACAGACCAACCCAAAAAGTCTGCAAATTAGGGAGACAATAAGGTCAGGGCACTCCTTACCCTTTGAGAAGAGGACGAGATCAACCGTCATGTAACAGGAACAGTAAACAACTGTTATTGCCATGTAACGCCATTGTTAGTGTTTAGAATGTGCTGCTAATGTATGTGTTACATGTCTCACTTGGACTGGAGTCCAAAACTGTTTTGTTACATGTCACGCCTGTCATGTGTTTTTTGCTTCTGGAACACCAGCATGCTATCTAAAATCACACACTGGAGCAGCATGATGCCGCCATTATTTGGTTCTGTGTGAAAAGCAAAGCCTGCATAATGAAGGGTCTTAGGTCCCGTTTATACGACAAAGATTTCAACCATTAATGGTAAACTTTAGTTGTGTTTTGGCCAATAGTTTACACGAGAGTGGCGTTTTGGGTGCCTGAAAACGCAATGTTTTGAAAACAGGTTCCAGAGTGCAATTTTTTGAAAACAGCACTGTCTTCGTTGTCATGTAAACTTGCAATATGCAGTTCCTCTGAAAAAGGAGACTTTTCGCACATGCACATTACCCTTCCAGTCACTAGGCATGTGCGAGAAAGTCGACCATCACAACAACAATGGCAGACTCCTGAGCTCTGATTGTGCTGCTCACCCTGTTGAATTTATCAACGCTTCTCCAGCAAAGTGTAGATTTACTGTAGCAAGTCAACCACGTCGTCCGTCCAGACAAACACCGCCAACTACTGGCCTAAATGCCAGTCTAAATGCGGAACGAAAATGAGAAACAATTCTGTTTTCAGTGGATCGTTTTTGTGTAAACATGGCTTTAGTCGAGGCCTTATTGCAGGATCTCTGTAACAGGACTATTGTCCCAGGTGTTCATGTTAACACTGTTCACTGATAATCAGATGCTCTGACATCATCAGTCAGTATCTAGTGAGGTGTCAGTCTTGTCAGCATAATTTTCATTTGACATAAAAGCGGTTGTCTAGACAAGTTAATTTTAAAGTTCATCATGTTGATCAAAGATTTATTTCTGTAAGTCGACTCACATCAACCTGTGCAGCTGTTTGAATCTCATCCAAGCTCGTCACAGTTTTTTAATGTTGCCATTTCCTGGTCCTTGCAGGGGGGACGACCCCTCGTTAATCCTCCCTACAAAGCTCTGACTGGCTCAATTGTTTGTTGTTCCAACTGGGAAAACAGCCTTTAATGAGCACAACACCCCACCTACAGTATTTGAATCTCTGAAAACGTCTGAGATGAAGTTCACTGATAGTAGTCCATTATTCAAAGTAGGAAAACAGATCTTTTCATTTTATAAATGTTTGATGACATATACCACATATTGATCCCCCGTACAGGGTTATTTATATCTACATCACCTACAAAAAAAAACCCAATATAAAATACATTTCTACAGAGTGAGCAGATGTTTAAAAATCCATGGACTTACATTAGTAATTACTTCACTTGAAACACAAAATTACGGGTTGTTAGTCATGTTTTAATGCAGAGGTACTATCAAACTATTGACGTTATTATTCCAAAATACCATTGCCAAGCTTTCAGTCATTTCCATTTGTCCTTGTCCCTTTGCCTTTCTCGTAGAGATCTGATGCTACACGGGATGTTGGTTCAGTTCCTTGTTTACTCTTTGCTGCCCAGCTTCGGCTGCTGTGTAATGCAGCACAAAGTAAACAGTAGGAGTTGTCACTGACAAACTAACTGGGTTGCCTGGGTTTAATACAGTTTGATTTTGGACTGAGATATATGGATATATTTTTGGTTTTAGTGCATTATTCTTTTATCTTTGGCATTCTTTATTTATATCATTTATGATTTACGATATTTTCTATATGAAAATGTCATCCCTGCAGTCTGCCAAGCGACATACTATTAAGTATGCTTTTGTCAAACAAGACAGCATTATTTTTGCTTCTCTGTCAGTGGGCTCATAATAGATGGTAGACAGATGGGTAATTCTGCTCGGTCTGGAGAAAATGACAGCAGGATTAGTTTGGTGTGTGTTAGCGGTGGAGAAATAATGAGACGGCATCAACGGTTGCTCAGACAGTAGAGCAGTTTGGATTTTGAGTCTGAGGTCACTGGTTATATTCTAAAACCAAGCAGGAAAAGTTGGAGGAGACAGTAAAGCAGAACCAAAGATCACTATAATGAGAATGTGAAGAAATACCTGGCAAAAATACATTAATGCGCAGTCTGCCTTACTCCATTAAAAACAGGTTGAATAAAAATGAAGTGTAGGAATGAAGAGAGACAGAAAATTAAAGAATAAGTATGTTTATGTGCACACTGGTAACCTGTCGAAGTAGAAGTGTGTTAATTTTTGCACATGTAAACATTAAACCCAGATATTCTGTCTGATAAACCTAAATGTCTGACCTTGTCCATTACAAATACATCAATAAATAACAGGAATACTTTGGTATAAGATCACATAAGTATGTACTGGAAGTCACACAAAGAGGAGTAGTAGTAAAATCACAAATAGTTTGATTTGTGAGAGAAAGTAATCATAGTCAAAAATGAAGAAATGGCTTGCTTTACTCCTCAAAATAATCTTGGTGTATTTACTTAAACTTCACATCAACTGCATAAAATCATGGACGTAGTCAGTAATTGGTTTGTGGACTCCCGTTTTGAAGCCTAGAGTTTGGCATGTCGTCCGTCTCCATATTAAATTTTAGGAGCCAGAGGTGACCATATTTAGACGAAAGGGTGGAGCTAACTCTAATGCTAGCTGCTTTCTTGGTTAGCACGGTGCATTTACGCTCAATGTAACTGTAACTGTTTAACTGTAATAATGCAAATGCTAATTTTGGCAAGCAAAAACAGGCTTAAAACCATTAAAACAAAATATACTTTGAAAACTGATGTAACTAAACACTGAAATAGCAACAGCTACAACCAAGTTTTGGTTACTGAAAGAGTCCAGTGCAGCATTTGGATGTACAACGAGACCCTCTCAGGGGTTGGATATTCAGTTTTTTTCTGTCAGTTCAGTTTGTTTCAGTGGTTTCAAGCCTGTTTTTGTGCAAGCAAAAATTTGCATTAACATTATCACAGTTAATGCACTGAGCAGCAGTAGCTCAGTCCATAGGGGCTTGGCATGGGAACTAAAGGGTTGCTGGTTCAAGTCCCCATATGGACCAAGTATGGAGTGTGGACTGGTAGCTGGAGAGGTACTCCTCCTGGGCACTTCCAAGGTGCCCTTGGGCAAGGCACTCAACCTCCAACTGCTTCCCTCACTCTGACATCTCATTTAATGCATGTATAGGTCCTGTTTATCTG